CGATCTCTTGACCTCGTGATCCACCCGCCTCGGCCTCCCAAAGTGCTGGGATTACAGGCTTGAGCCACCGTGCCCGGCAATGTTGTGGTTTTTAATGAACTAAAAGGCCAATGCCCCTTTAAAAACCCTTGTGCTGATTCATCGCTAAAAAACCTTCATGCTGAAACCCACCTCTGACCCACCCAAGTAGCTCCGTTACCTGGCCACAAAGCTGGCAGTCTTGTCAACAATATTTCTGACCTCTGGAGGAGGGTAAATAATCCCCACAACTGGTTTAGAAGGTGCAGAATCCTCCTTTGAAGATGCTTCTTCTTCCATGGGCTGTGGAAACAGGAAAACAAGGTTTTCAAGTCCCTGGTTCGGCACAGGTTCTCTACTGTGAAACTCCTCTAGGACATCATTCAGGGTAGACTTTCACTCAGACTTCCCTCCGGTTAGGACGCTCTGCTTCAGAAAAGCAGTTAAGTTCACTGCACCTGCAAGGGATGCTCCTGGGGAACCGGGGAAAAGAGTAGCTTCCCTGGCTCTTCTCTAGCTGGACTATCTCAGTGAGACCAGGAATCTGCATTTTTACCCAATGCCCAGGTGATTCAGATGCAGGGACTCCGACTACATCCTGAGAAACCATTGCAGAATCCAGGCCTTGTCTGTAACCCTGCACCCAGCGCTGGGCTTGGCATGGAATTTTTAATGATTGTTTGCTGAATAAAGAAATGGAAAATTGCCGGGCGCGGTGGCTCAAGCCTGTAATCCCAGCACTTTGGGAGGCCGAGGCAGGTGGATCACGAGGTCAAGAGATCGAGACCATCCTGGTCAACATGGTGAAACCCCGTCTCTACTAAAGATACAAAAAAATTAGCTGGGCATGGTGGCACGTGCCTGTAATCCCAGCTACTCAGGAGGCTGAGGCAGGAGAATTGCCTGAGCCCAGGAGGCGGAGGTTGTGGTGAGCCGAGATCGCGCCATTGCACTCCAGCCTGGGTAACAAGAGCGAAACTCCGTCTCAAAAAAAAAAAAAAAAAAAAAAAAAGAAATGGAAAATTATTTGCTGACAGCTTCTTCTGCCCTGAATGCCCTCTCTCTCTGACTCTGTTCCACACCTTAACCACAATTCAATGCTCAAGTGTTTTGTGAGCCTCCACTGAAATGCTCAGCATTAACTATCCCATAAATTCCAGGATTTTCTCCAGCAGCTTCTTCCCCTTAGTAAACAAAAGGTCAAGTCTCTTATCTTAGAAAAATGAAGTTTCTCTTCTACCTTCAGATTCCTTTCTGCCACTGCCTTCTCCCACCCCTTCCTCTGGCTGCGAAACATCCTGAGTTCTCTTCAGTCTTGCGAGTCTCACTTCCTCACCTGCCATTTGGTCCCCATTCATTTTAAGTCCTCTCGACGAAGTCAAAAACAACGGCTCACAACCATCCACCGCCATTATGTGGGCATGAATGGTGACCACTCCTTCACAAAACTCTCGACTCCCAGGCCCCATTCTTCCCTTCTTGCTCATCATTCCATTCAAGTTTCCTTCCCGGCCCCCATTTCACCTCCTGCTCTATAAAGTGGGTGTTTCCCACCCCACGTCCCCGCCCAATTCTGTTCTTGGTTCTCAGTTTTCAGTGTCCTCCCCTTCCCCTACTGCCTCTAGGCTAAACAATCTGACCCAAATTAATGTCCCAGAACACTCCTGTGTACCGAACAGCTTCGGGTCCAGCTGACTCCTGGGCACTTTCGTCTCTAACCTCTTTCCTCAGGAGTAGCTACCTAGTCATCCACAATAGGAAGTTGGGGCTCCTCTCTCTTCCTCAGCTTCCACACTCAATGATAATAACATTTATCAAGCTTGGCACAATGGCTTGCACCTATAATCCCACTGACTCAGGAGGCTGAGGTAGGAGGATTGCTTGAGCCCAGGAATTTGAGGTCGCAGTAAGCTATGACCACACCATGACATTCCTGTCTAGGCGACAGAACAACACCCCGTCTCTTAATAAAACAATTTTGGCCCGGTGTGGTGCCTCATGCCTGTAATCCCAGCACTTTGGGAGGTCAAGGAAGGCGGATCACGAGGTCAGGAGTTCAAGATCAGCCTGGCCAACATGGTGAAACCCCATCTCTACTAAAAATGCAAAAATTAGCTGGGTGTGGTGGAAGGCACCTGTAGTCCCAGCTACCCAGGAGGCTGGGGCAGGAGAATCGCTTGAACATGGGAGGTGGAGGTTGCAGTGAGCCAAAATCATGCTACTGTACTCCACCCTGGGTGACAGAGCAAGACTCCATCTCAAAATAAAATAAAATAAAAATAAAACAATTTTTTATCAAGCGGAGTAGATTCCAGGTATTTCTCCCAAGTACTTTAAATATATTAACTCTTTTTTTTTTTTTTTGAGACAGAGTTTTGCTCTTGTTACCCAGGCTGGAGTGCAATGGCGCAATCTCGGCTCACCGCAACCTCTGCCTCCTGGGCTCAGGCAATTCTCCTGCCTCAGCCTCCTGAGTAGCTGGGATTACAGGCACGTGCCACCACGCCCAGCTAGTTTTTTGTATTTTTAGTAGAGACGGGGTTTCACCATGTTGACCAGGATGGTCTCGATCTCTCAACCTCGTGATCCACCCGCCTTGGCCTCCCAAAGTGCTGGGATTACAGGCTTGAGCCACCGCGCCCGGCATATATTAACTCTTATAGACCTTATAAGAAGCCTATGAGATTAAGTATTCTTTTTTTTTTTTTTTGAGACAATCTTGCTGTCACCCAGACTGGAGTGCAGTGCCATGATCTTCGCTCACTGCAGCTTCCGCTTCCTGGGTTCAAGTAATTCTTTCCCGAATAGCTGGGATTACAAACGTGCACCATCAAACGTGGCTAATTTTTTATTTTTAGTAGAGACAGGGTTTTGCCATGTTGGCCAAGCTGGTCTCAAACCTAAGTGATCTGCCTGCCTCAGTCTCCTGAAGTGCTGGAATTACAGGTGTGAGCCACTGGACTGGGCCAAGTACTCTTAATATCTTCCCATTACAGATGACAGAACTGAGAGACGGAGAGCTTATGTCCAAATGGCAGAACCAGGATTCTAACGTATCACTCTGGTTGGAGAACCTGCCCACCGCCCTCTGCCCCAATCTAGGCCAGGCCTTCAGCCTCTTTTGAACACTGTGACAGATCTCCATCTTCCTAGTGATTCTCCACATGTCTGCCTACCTGAATTTCTGAAACACAAATGTCACCATCTGGCTTAAAACCCTCCCTTTTCTAATCACAGATGAATTTTCTGACTAGAAAAAAAAAAAAAAACCCTCTCTTTTCTTCCCATTGTCTACAAAGAAAAGTTCAAATCCTAAGTAAGAATCTCATCTCCTGCCACCACTCTCCTAAGTCTATCCTTCAACACTTCATTTACTCTTGACTAGACACGTCGTTTGATTCTTACCTCAGTACGTATCTTTGTGCATATTACCTGGCCATTACCTTATTTTTCCCCAATGCCTGGAAAAATTCCAGGGACACACAGGCACTTAAATATCTGTGGAAAAGGCATGGCTTCTTCAGTCATGTCCCCCCCTTATTCTGAACCCAAAGTAGTGATCAGCTTGTGCTCAATAAATACGTGCTGAATGAATAATGGATGCTATTTCCCTTCCCTAGTCACCTACCTGACGAATTCCTACTCCTTTTTTTTTTTTTTTTTGAGAGGGAGAAGTCTCACTGTCACCCATGCTGGAGTGCAGTGATGTGATCTTGGCTCACTGCAACCTCCGCCTCCTGGGCTCAAGCAAGTCTCCTGCCCCAGCCTCCCGGGCAGCTGAGACTTCAGGTTCGCGCCACCACGCCAGGCTAATTTTTGTATTTTTAGTAGAGATGGGTTTTCACTTTACTGATCAGGCTTGTCTTGAACTCCTGACCTCGTGATCCACCCGCCTTGACCTTCCGAAGCCACGGCGATTGGCCTATTCCTTCTTCTAAAAGAAGGAATTTACCTCTCACTCTTGTGGGCTTCCCCTACCCTAATATCCCTTCTACCCCAGCAAGCAATGTTGATTAGATGTGTACCTGAAACTTCTATCACAGAGCATATCACACCATACTACAATGGTTTATGCACACTGGAGATTGGAGAGCTTTATTAAGGGTGGGCTGGCACCGTATCATTGACGGTCATCGGGAGGACAATCAACATTTGGTGAGCATTCTCGCACGTCGGCCTTCCCGTTAGCCTATGAGCTCCCTAGACAGGATTGTGCCCCATTCATTCCGGTAAACGTGGGAGCCTGCTGTAGTGTCTGGCTTGGGAGAGACACCGAAACAGATTCTGAGAATTAACATCCTAAAACGTACCGTGCAGGCTGAGAAATTAGACATTAGTGGGCAAAGGCTGTGGCCAGTGGCCCCAACTCCACAGATCACAGAATCTTCTCAGAGGATCAAATGATCACTGCCTCTTACACTTTAATCAATCACCTTAGGATTTTGTTCAATTATTCCTATTTAGAAGGTCTGGGGGACGGGCGCGGTGGCTCACGCCTGTAATCCCAGCACTTTGGGAGGCTGAGGTGGGTGATCACCTGAGGTCAGGAGTTCGAGACCAGCCTGACCAATATGGTGAAACCCCATCCTACTTAAAAAAAAAAAAAGTCTAGGGCGGAGACTCCGATTTTCTAAGAAGCTCCATGCTCGTGCCGATGCTGCGGATCCGCGGACCACTTTGGAGAACCCTGTTCAGGGCGGTTCCTTTCGCTGCCAGAACTGCACCATAGCGTGGGAAGCGCGCAAAGCGCGCAGCCTCCTGGGACTTGCAGTCCCTCCAAGCGGTTCATAGCGGCCGCTTATTCCTACGCGAATGAGGAGCACCCAGGCCCACGCTAGCGCTGCAGGCTGAGGCGCTCGGGGAGTAGTACCTGTTTAGGCTCGGTGGCCACCGGCGGCGGCGGAGGCACCGCCTGCACGGGTCCGGCCGGCATGACTGCGACGCTCAGGGCTGCCAGTCCGCCTCGGTGTCGGTGACGGGGTGCCGCCTCAAGGCAGCCTCCCCGCTCGGACAGTACGACGAACTCGCAAGATGGCGGCGACCGAGTGAGTTGTGACCGCGAAGGTGAGACTGACGTACTTCCGGGACCACCCTCTCTCGGTGGCGCGCTTCCGGTCCCTCCCAGCGGGCACCGCAGCTTTCGACGCCGTTGCCAAGGCAACGGCCTGGGCCAGGCTAGGGCTTTCCGGGAATCCCAGGTGCCGCAGGCGCGCTGGATACAATTTCGGGAGCCGACCGGACACAGAGGCTAAAGCTGTGAAGCTGAAGGCAGGTGAGATGTTCTGCATCACCCGCCGGACCCCAGCTGCACTCACCTCGCGGCTCCTTTACTCGGCAGGCCAGTGCCTCGCTCCCTTCGACCCCGCCTCCGAAGAGCCCAGCTCCCGCCCATTGGCCTTATTTAGGAGAGCCCGGGTCCCCTCAGGCTCGCCGCCTCAGGGCCCCACTTCCCTACTCCCATAGTCCCCTCTTTGATTTCACATCCTCCAAGCCCCTCTTCCGAATCCTACCTCCTTAATTCCCTTTTCCCATGGGTCTGCCTTTTCTTGCTTCCACCCTCTGCCTTTCGTAGTCCCGCCCTCCAGCCCCCCTGGGGTCTCTCTCTCAAATCAAGGCTGCTGCTTTCTTTTACTTTTTTTCTGAGACGGGGTCTGGCTCTGTCGTCCAGGCTGGAGTGCACTGGCTCAATCTCGGCTCGCTGCAACCTCTGCCTTCCGAGTTCAAGCTGTTTCTTCTGCCTCAGCCTCCCAAGTAGCCAGGACTACAGGCGCCCACCACACCCTGCTAATTTTTTTAGTATTTTTAGTAGAGACGAGGTTTCACCATGTTGGTCAGGCTGGTCTCGAACTCCTGACCTCAAATGATCCGCCCGCCTCGGCCTCCCAAAGTGTTGGGATTACAGGGGTGAGCCACTGCTCTCGGCCAGTTTTAAAAAATTTTTTGTAGGGACGTGGGTGGACGTCTGCCTACTTTGCTCAGGCTGATCTCAAACTCCTGGGCTCAAGCGGTTCTTCCGCCTGGGCCTCCCGAAGTTCTGGGATTACAGGGCTGCTGCTTTAGGTTTCACCCCTCACTCTCACCGGGGTGGCCCTGCAGCTCCCCTCACTCCCCAGAGGCCTACTTGGCATCCTGCCGGCTTCTCACCCTTTCCGAAGATTCCCCTCTCTCCTTCGTCCCCTCCTCAACTCCTGAAAGCTGAAAGCGGGGACCTGGCTTCGAACCTGTGCCTGGACTTCAGTTTCCTCATCTGTGAAATGAGGGAGTGATAGGAAAGGTTGCTCTTTCAAGCCTTCCCCCTCCCCCACACACCATAGCTGTATGTCACTGTTTTTTTTGTTTGTTTGTTTGTTTTTGAGATGGTCTCACTCCGTTGCCCAGGCTGGAGTGCAGTGGCACAATCACTGCTCACTGCAACCTCCACTTCCCGAGTTCAAGTGATTCTCCTGTCTCAGCCTCCCAGGTAGCTGAGATTACAGGCACCCACCACCACACCCAGCTAATTTGTGTATTTTTAGTAGAGACAGGGTTTCACCATATTGGCCAGGCTGGTCTCAAACACCTGACCTGTGGTCCACCGCCTTGGCCTCGAAAAGTGCTGGGATTACAGGTGTGAACTACTGTGCCCAGCCTCAATGTTGTTATTAATGTAGAATAATGATAGCTAGGATGTATTGGTCACTTACTATGAGCCAGTACACTTCATGTAGTACATTGATTCTTTATAGTAATATATTTACAAATGAGGATAGTGAAGTTTGGAGTTGGTAGAGTAGGAATGCAAGTTCAAGCCAGGCTTCTTACTCTACTAGTGCAGTTACTCTTTTGTCCTCACTCAGTCCCTTCAGTGTCCCCAGGGATCCAGGCAATTAACAGTGTCATGTTTGAGACTGACATTTGCCACATAGCTGCTTTTAGAGTTTCCCGCGTTTTCATGGTGGTGACTTTGAATCTCAGCAGGCCCCCTGGCTGGGAAGTAGGCATCATCTTTCAGTAGGAGTAGGGTACTACTTCTGAGAGAGAGAAGGCGCTTGAATATTGAACGGAAGTGTAGGAAAGGCTCCTCTCTTCTCTGGGAGTCAGAAGTCCACCTGGAGCCCCAGGAAACTGAGGAGAGGCAGAGTTAGCTGCTACTCCTCCATACGGGCTCAATTACTGCTGTCACCTGTGTGGTTACGGCGACATTGAAGTACTTGAGTCTTCCACTCAAGACCCAGGAATGACAGAGATTGCTCATCTCTTCACGTGACATGCACATAAGTACTTTTTCTTTTTTTTTTTGAGACGGAGGTTTGCTCTTGTTGCCCAGGCTGGAGTGCCATGCTGTGATCTTGGCTCACTGCAACCTCCGCCTCCCAGGTTCAAGCAATTCTCTTGCCTCAGCCTCCCTAGTAGCTGGGATTACAGGCATGCACCACCATGCCCAGCTAATTTTTTATTTTGTATTTTTAGTACAGACAGGGTTTTGCGATGTTGGTCAGGCTGGTCTTGAACTCCTGACCTCAGGTGATCCACCCACTTTGGTCTCCCAAAGTGCTGGAATAACTGGCGTGAGCCACCGCACCCAGCACGTAAGTACTTAAACCATGCTTATATCTGCGTGACCTCAATTTTCAGAAGAAACAACATAAAGTAATTTACTGCTAGGGATCTGAACCAAGATCTAGTGGGAGTTGATATCAAAGATGGCCTCATATGGCAGCTGTAGTTATTTGAAGATGAGCAGATCAGTGTTTCCTGGTGCCTTCACAAGCAAGCTTATGAATTCCAAGTGCTTTGCCACCTGAATACACTTCCTCCCAGGTTGGGGCTTCTTGATTGCTTTATTTCCTTCATGCCCGTTCCGGGAAGGAAACCCAGAATACTCGCCTATGTTATTTTCCCTTTGTTTCTGCCTCCCTCCTTGGAGACATAAAATCTCTTGGGCAGCAATAGCTCATGAGAGGCAGTTGCCAAGACAACAGGAGTGCAGGATGTGGGCATGTTTGTTGTAAGTGTCATGGGGCAGACACATATCACTTGGGTAATGTCCCACAGCTGAAACTGGCACACACAAGCTTACTTCTTGCAGAGACCCTCAGATATCGTTGGTAGTTCCTGGAGGACAGTGCTGCTTGTGCCCTGCTGTGTTCCTGGTCTTGACACAGTGCCTCCTGGCATGGAGCAGATGCTCAGTCCTCATTTGCTGAATGCACACACAGCATCTGACCCTCTGTGCCATCCAGTACAATAGCTACCAGCCGACATGGCTTTTGAACTTTGAAATGGTTAGTAGGGGAGAAAAAGTGATATCTTTTCCTCACCCATCACAGGTTTAATAAAAGACAGATTAAGGTGGCTCACGCCTATAACCCCAACACTTTGAGAGGCCAAGGCTGGAGGATCACTTGAGGCCAGGAGGCCAAGACCAGCCTGGGCAACACAGCAAGTCTCTCTCTTTACAAAAAATAAAAAATATTAGCCAGGTGTGGTGGCACCCACCTGTAGTCCTACCTACTCAGGAGGCTGAGGTGGGAGGTTCACTTGAGCCCAGGAGTTTGAAGTTACAGTGAGCTATGATAGCACCACTGCACTCCAGCCTGAGCAACAAAGTGAGACCCTGACTCTAGTAAATAAATACGTGAAATAAAATTTAAAAACAGATTAACAAGAGAAAGGATACAAATTTATTTAATAAAAGTTTTTCCTGACATGGAAACCTTCAGAAATGAAAACCCAAAGAGACAAGGAGATCTGTGTTTTTTTGGTTTTTGTTTTGTTTTGTTTTTTGTTTTTCTGAGACGGAGTCTCGCTCTGTACCCCACGCTGTAGTGCGGTGGCCTGATCTTGGCACACCGCAACCTGTTTCCCAGTCCTGGTTCAAGCGATTCTCCTGCCTCAGCCAGCCGAGTAGCTGGGATTACAGGTGCGCACCACCATGCCCAGCTAATTTTTGTATTTTTAGTAGAGATGAGGTTTCACCATATTGGCCAGGCTGGCCTTGAACTCCTGACCTCATAATCCTCCTGTCTCGCCCTCCCAAAGTGCTGGGATTACAGGTATGAGCCACCGCACCCGGCCTGGAGATCTGTGTTTTCATGGATAGTCATTCAGAATTATGATTAGTGGACCAAAAGTTATGATATGGCGAGGCACCGTGGCTCACGCCTGTAATCCCAGCACTTGGGTAGGCCAAGTCAGGTGGATCACCTGAGGTCAGGCGTTGGAGACCAGCCTGGCCGATATGGTGAAACCCCATCTCTGCTAAAAATACAAAAATTAGCTGGGTGTGGTGGTGTGTACCTGTAGTCCCAGCTACCCGGGACTACAGGAATAGTCTGACAAGAGAATTGCCTGAACCCAGGAGGCAGAGGTTGTAGTTAGCCAAACAGGAGAATTATTTGAACCCAGGAGGCGGAGATTGCAGTGAGCTGAGATTGCACCACTGCACTCCAGCCTGGGTGACAGTGTGAGACTCTGTCTCAAAAAAAAAAAAGAAAGAAAAGATACAATCAAATATTAATAAATAAGGGAGGGAATCGATTTAGCAAGGGCTGTTTTCTCAGATTCTTCTTGGTATCCCTGTGTGACATTTCTTCCCATCTCGGTATAGAGCAGAACACCTGTCACATGAGGGTCTTCAGGGGAGAAGGAAGGGAGAGGTTACAGACTGACCTTCCTGGTGGCCTGCTCTAGGGAGGAAGGATGAGGGGAAGATGAGAGTGGCCTTCCTGCTTCTGCAGTTTTTTGCATTTCCAAGGTGCCATATTTTGGGGTACCATTTCCTGTAGCCCATCAGTGGCTAGTAGAAATACCTAAAATCCCATGTGTGGCTTGTGTTGTATTTCTCCTGGACACTGCTACTCTGGAAGTAGCATGGCCTGAGGACAGAGCAGATTGTGGACTCAGAATCTCAACTTCCTGAGTGACCTCGGGCAAGCTCCCTAACTTTTCAGAGCCTCAATTTCCTCCTCTGTAGAAATGAGGGAGATTGAGGGAAGCGGTACACAGTGGGTTCTTCAGTCAAAGCCAGCACCATTGAAGAACGCCCTCTGCTCAGGCTGGAGGCAGGCAGGTGTCCGGAGGTGGCTTTGTTTCCACAGGCCAAAGGGAGTACTGAGGCACTGTAGCCAGCATGACGTGATCCGATAGAGTTTGGTCCAGGTCTCTGGAGCTGAAGGTGTTCAGAATGGAGAGGGTAGGCCTGTGACCCAGCTGGAAACTGCTACAGTGGTCTAGGCAGGAGATGACAGTGGCCTGGTGTGGCCCAACACTCTCCATCATGCTGTAGCTGTAACTCTCTTTCAGTTGTGTGTGCCCTGTTCCAGGATTCACTCTGGGAAAGGACAGCAGGCATATTCTTGTTAATAGCTGAATCCACCCAGCCTAAGCCCTCGGGAAGGAATTGTGGAGTGATGGACTCTGCAGTATGTGCTTGTGGTAGGGGGACTGAGAAGCTGGCGAGGCCACTCAGGACCAGGTCCAAAAGGCCTTGTCACGTGTGGCTGGGAAACAGACTTCTCCCAGGGTCTGGGGTGGACTTTCAGCCTACCCAGGGTTTTGGGGACTTTCCTCCAGCAGCAGCCACATGGCTCTGGTTGGCAGGGCTCCTCTGTGCTCGCCCTAGGAGCTGTGAGGATGGCGCACCTGCTGGGCAGCCAGGCCTGCATGGACAGCCTGCGCAAGGACCTCACCGACCTGCAGGGTGCCATCGTAGACGTCTTTTCCCACGCTGGGCCCGTGTGCTTCCCCTCCTGGAAGTTCCCTGATCGCGTCGCCTGTGACCTTGACATGGTGGCCCTGCTGGAGCACTATGACCATGTTCCTGGTGACCCCGAGTTCACACAGCTGTCCCATGCTGTGCTGCTGGAGCTGGTCATCGACAGGTGAGGGCCTTGACCAAACCTGGTCATCTCAGGATGCCGGTACCTGCCCCTGAAAGCAGTGGCAGCTGCAGAAGCCCCTCCAGAGGCGGGGTTGATGTTGGTAACACAGTTACCATTGAGTACCTGTCGGAGCTACATCAGCTTCGGTCTTTCAAAGTGGTCTCACCTTTTATCGAGTGTCTTGTGTTGTGTGCTGTGCTATGCCATGTTAGGCTAGCCTAGCCTGTCCACCTCAGGCAGTTGATTTCTACTCCATTGGTCTCTGTCACACCACAGGTGTGACCTGGGCCTCTCAGCTACTCCCAGCTGCCTCCTCAGGGTTTCTGTGTCCAGGACACCATAGTTGCTTCTCAGAGTTTCCATCCCAGGCTCTCTTTCCTGTTGTCCTGTGGGTTGTGCTGTTCCCTCTGCATATCACAAGGCCAGATACAGGATGCATTTTTTCCAAATCATAACCCTCTGGGAAGAGCCTCGTGGATGCTCCTGCAGCCCCATCACTTGTAAAGTTAACATGGTTGGCCGGGCATGGTGGCTCACGCCTGTAATCTCAGCACTTTGGGAGACCAAGGCAGCCGGATCACTTGAGGTCAGGAGTTCAAGACCACCCTGGCCAACATAGTGAAACCCTGTCTCTACTAAAAATACAAAAATTAGCTGGGCATGGTGGTGCGTGCTTGTAATTCCAGCTACTCAGGAGGCTGAGGCATGAGAATCACTTGAACGTGGGAGGCAGAGGTTGCAGTGAGCTGAGATCACACCAGTGCACTCCAGCCTGGGTAATGGAGTAGATTCTGTCTCAAAAAAAAAACACAACAAACAAACAAAAAATGACATGGTTTATTGGGCATAGTGGCCAACACCTGTAATCCCAGCATTTTGGGAGGCTGATTGGGAGGATCATTTGAGAATTTGAGGCTAGCCTGGGCAACAAAGGGAGACCCCATCACTACAAAAATATTTTTTAAATTAGCTGGGTGTGTTGGTGCATGCCTTTTTTTTTTTTTTTTTTTTTGAGACAGAGTTTTACTCTTGTTGCCCAGGCTAGAGTGCAGTTGCATGAACTTGGCTCACTGCAACCTCTCCCTCCTGGGTTCAAGAGATTTTCCTGCCTCAGCCTCCCCAGTAATTGGGATTACAGGTGCCTGCCACCATTCCTGGCTAATTTTTTGTATTTTTAGTAGCGACAGGGTTACACCATGTTCACCAGCCTGGTCTTGAACTCCTGACCTCAGGTGTTCCACCCACCTTGGCCTCCCAGAGTGCTGGGATTACAGGTGTGAACCACTGTGCCCAGCCGATGTGTGCCTATTGTCCCAGCCACTTAGGAAGCTACTAAAAATATAAAAATGAGCCAGGCACGGTGGTGCAAGCCTGTAGTCCCAGCTACTCAGGAGGCTGAGGCAGGAGAATTGCTTGAACTCGGGAATTGGAGGTTGCAATGAGCTGAGATTGTACCACTGCACTCCACCCTGGGCAACAAAGCAAGACTCTGTTTTTTTTTTTAAAAACAACAACAACAACAACAACATAAAACCAACCTTAAAGCCATGAAGGCCAGACAGGTGACAGAGAATGTGAGAGGGACTTCAGTCTCCAGTGGTTTCAGGATGACCTGCTCAGGGACAGAGAAGCCACTCAGGCCTGGAGGAGCCCTTGGTACAAAAGCACCATATGTAACCTCTGAATGGCTCAATGATGAGCACAGAACACACCTCCTTTCCTCCGTGACTTTATGCATTACACTGTCCCTCTGCTAGGAATGCCCTGCCCATCTGTCACGGCTAGGTTTACCCATCCCTTTCTCCATGAAGCTGTTGCTGACATGCCCGCTGCCCTGCCTGACCCCTCTGCCTACCTCTGCCTGAGTTAAAGCCCCCTCTGGGCTCCTGTGTGTGTAAGTAATTCCTGGCAGACGCTGCTGGGTGAGACCTAGACCAGCCTGTGAACCCTGGAGTCTGGGGCCCTGGCCTCCACTACATGGTGTAGCACTGAGCTGCTCAGTTCGTGGCAGGGATGGGGTCACGGCTAAGACTGCAGACAGCAGCACCACGGTCTCCCACTGCTAGTCAGTCGGTCAGTCTGGGCAGATGGACTGTTGCTCTGTCAGGGTTATGATGTGTCCTCTTCTCAGGTGCGTCCCTGTTCCCCGGTGTTGCCTGGCACCATGGCAAGTGCTGTTGTCCACGTCTGCAGAGGAGGACACATTGGCCAAAGAGGGGCAGGGCCTGGAGGCGGTTGGCACCTCCTCCCCCAGGCCCTCTCTACCCAAGGCCCCACAGGGTTTGGGATGACCCTGCTGCACCTGCAACAAGCTGATTTCACTTATCTTCCTGGTGTGTGTCGTCAACACAATACTACTTTAAAATAGCTCGGTTCCCATGCAAATGCAAACTTAGCTTTTTATTATAATATTGCGTTTTCTTATAACTCATGCCTGACTTTAATTTTGAACTTTGAGGTTAGGACAGAGACCTAGCTGTCGTGACACAGGTCTCCACTGTCACAGAAGCAGCTCACCCTGCAGAAGCCCTTGACTAGCCTTGGGAGACTGTGCACACACCCCACTCTGCCTTATCAACCTGTGGCTGTGGGCAAGCTCCTCCCCTCTCCTGGTCTCAGTTCTCATCTGTCAAGTGGAGGCTCTGGGTCACTGGATGCAGGGCAGCCATTCACCCAGCACTTCTCAAGGACTCAGGATACAACTGAGGCAAGGCCAGGCTCAGCTTCACAGAGAGCACTGGTCCAGTGGAGAAGAGCCAGGCAGAGGGGCCACCCAGGAGACCCAGCAGACGCTCCCAAGCAGAGATTATGGCCAGGGATGACTTCCTGGAGGAAGCAGCCCTGGGTTAGGTTTGAAGCTGGCCCAGCAGAGCATAGTCTGAGACTCCAAGTCCCTGATGCCTGGGCCAGTTCCCCAGAGCCAGATCTGCAGTATGGTCTGAGGGTACATTGGCACGAGCCAGGGCCCCAGCAATCTGGCATTTCTGCCCGCAGGCTCCTGCTACTGCTTCAAAGCTGCATGAGCTACTTGGAGAACCTTGGCTCAGAGCAGATGATGCCCCCCATGCGGGCTGCGGGACCCTGCATGTCCGTGGGGCTCACAGTGCGGCGCTTCTGGGACAGCCTGCTGAGGCTGGGCATGCTCCACCAGCAGGCGCTCCCCCAGGTGGGTCCCATCCTCTGTCTCCCCACTGTGGTGGCCTTCACACCTCACCCCCACTCTGGCTTCCTAGCCTACCACCGTGTGTACCGCAGCCTTCACTGGCCTCCACCACTCTCCCAATCAAGGCCCACACAGTGTGGCAGTTAAGAATGCAGGCCTTGGGTGGTCATGCCTTGCTCTCTGGCTCTGATGTCCCTGTGGGACTTTGGAAAAATCCTGCCTCCTCTGAACCTCAGTTTCTTCATCTGAGGTTCAGACAGTGGAGGTCTGTGAGCCCTGTCTGTTACGGGCTATCCCATAATCCACACTGGCACCCACTGGGGAAGGGCCACTGTCACCGTGATGGGGAAGAAACTAAAACTGAGAGTGGCTATGGTGACATGAGAGCAGGCACGTCCACTAAGCAAGAGCCCAGTAACCAGCAGCTGCAACCGTCACCATCGCCCTCCCAACACCATGCATACAATCAGATCAAGCCTGGAGCTTGGGGTAGAGAGGAGGCCTGGGTGTGGTAAGTTGAGTCAGAGGAAAAGAGGGAGTAAGTTCTCTCTTATTTACATTGGTGTCAGAAAACGTCTGAGGGTCTGAGTGTCAGGTAAGGCTGGTTCCCCAGGGAACCAGTCACCTCCCTCCACTTTCTCTTACCTGGTTTCCCTTTGCTTCTTCTGAACACAGAAAGGGGCAAACCAAAGGGAGACCCCTACCTCCAAGCCCACCGCCAAGGACGAGCCAGCCGGGAGCCCTGAATATCTGACTGCCAAGTTCATCAAGCCCTCCTCCCCCATGCCAGGCTTGCCCCAGACCTGCCAAGACCCAGAGAGCCTCCCTGTCAGAGCCTCCCTGCAGTGTCCAGCCACGGTCTCCAAGAACAGCAGGAGTGTTTACTGCCAGACCATTGAGACGGCCCTGGTGCCCTGTGACGCGTGTGCCAGCATCCAGGGAAGCCTGTCGAAGGTGGGCAAGGTGGTCATCAGCCTGTGTCAGAGCCAGAACTTACCCTCATCCTTAGGCCAGTTCCAGCAACTGGTACAGGACAGCATGGGGCTCAGGCCACTGCCAGCTGCCACGGTGGGCCGCTGGGCAGCAGAGCAGAGCAAAGACCTGACGCGCCTCAGTAAGCATGTGGAGGCCCTCAGGGCCCAGCTGGCAAAGGCTGAGGAGCAGAAGGATGGCCTGAGGAAGCAGGTGTGCAAGCTGGAGCAGGCACTGAAACAGGAACAGGGGGCGCGGCGGCGACAGGCGGAGGAGAATGGGCAGTGCCTGGCTGAGTGGGAACATGACAAGCATCAGCTGCTCACAGGTCTGTGCCCCGGAGGCTGGACGCCTGGTGCCCAGGGGCTCTGCCACAGCCTTCGCATGGGTGCTTGAGACGGGGCTTCTAGGATAAGTGGTTTGTGTGGAGGAAACCCAGGCTGGGGCACAGGCAAGAGGCAGAGAAGGGAGGGCAGCAAGGAAGGGTGTGTTCATCCGGCTGTGACACTGTGAGCTCAGTCCTGCTGGGGCCACCAGGAGCCGGGCTAGGATGGTTGCCCAGACTTGTCCCTCAGTCGGGGAGGGAGCCAGGGTATGTATCCACTTGCACTGTCAATCATTGAGGGCTACTTCCAGAGAGTCCCCTGGCACTTCGAGCCAAGCAGAGCAGCCTCTCTGGTTTTGGGAAAAGCCATCAGAGACTCAGTTCCTGGCACTAGAAGTTGGCTAGTGCCCACTGATATGAGGCCTGAGGGATTTGCCCTTTCTGAGCCTCATGGTTGCCTCCATGAATGATACCAAGGCCCAGAGAGGTGCAGACACATGGCAGCCAGCCCATGAGAAGCAGGGTGGACGAGGGTCCAGCCCCCTCCACCAACTCCCCAGAGCTCCTCCCACAACCACAGGTGGCTCCTCTGCAGGCAATGGGCTGCCTCCACTGCACGGGGCACACTGGGCATGAAGGTCACTGGCCAGGCCCATGGGACCCTCTGAAGGGCCTCTCTCTTGGCTGCCATAGAAACAAGTGACCTAAAGACAAAGATGGCCACCTTGGAGAGGGAACTGAAACAGCAGCGGGAGTCCATGCAGGCTGTGGGTAAGGAGCCCCGACCCAGGCCCCCCATGCCACATCTCAAGCTAGTAGTGTGGCTGGATGAGCATCGTCCGTCTCTGTCCCCTGAGCATCCAGGGCGAAGATGAAGGGAACCAGCCACAGGAGGGTGGGCCTGGCCAACCACCCTGCTGGGCAGTGGCCAAGCTGGGGTGCCACCTCCCACCCAGAAAGCACCTTCTGTTTTCCAGACCCACCTCGGGCAGGGTTTAGAGCCCATTTTGTGGCTGAGGACTCTGAGGCCCAGAGATGTGATCTCCTGCTCGGGTCCCATCCTGGGTCTGAGGTAGTACAGCGCTCCCTTGCCCTACCCCATCCCACACCTGCTCAATGCTGCAGAGGCAAAGGCCCAGCAGCTGCAGGAGGAAGGCGCGTGCAGGGCGGCGGCGGAGAGGCAGGTGCAGCTGCTGGAGGAGCAGCTGGAGGGCGCCAGCCAGCAGATGTGCTGGGCCAGCAAGGAGCTGGACAAGGAGAAGGCACGTGTGGACAGCATGGTCCGCCACCAGGAGGTGAGGCCGGGGCCCTCGCCAGCCTGGGAACCCACAACGTAGGCTGCAGGGAGAGAGGGCTGTGCTGGCAGGGAATGGGGGCTCATCTGTTTGGGCACCTGCTCCCTGAGATACCTCCAGGTGTGGGATTGACTCACCCTCACAAAGTCTGCCCTGAGCCAGGCACTGAGGAACAGTGACCTAGGGACAGATAGATACTCCCTAATGAGGCCTCACTCTGGAGGAGTGCCCCACAGGGAAAGATGAACAGATGTGCCACACTCTCCTGCCAGATGGCTAAGGGGTGCAGGGGGGCATGGCCACATCAGCCATCAGCCAGTGGAAGGATAGGGCAGGCAGAGGGTGAGCCAGAGCCCCGGACACAGCTGTGTTCTGGGCAGTGGGGCCTTGCAGGAGTGCTCAGAAGTGTGGTTGAGGGAATAGGTGACCTGTTACCCAGTGAAGGGGGCAGGTCTGGGGCTTCCCTGGCTGAGCTACCCTCAGAAGCTCAGCAAGAGCCAGGGAGTTCAGTTGAGAGTCCCCAGGGTCAGGCATGGGCCCAGGATAGGGGAAGCTCTGTGTTCCCTGCAAACCTTCACAGCCGCCATGTATCAGGTGTCTGCTGTGACCCAGCCACCAGCTCCACAGCCTCTGATGCTTACTCCTTGCTACAGCAGGAGGCAGATACTCTTGTCACCCCCATTTTACGAATGAGGAAACAGCCTTACTGAGGTTAAGGAAGTTGCCCAAGGCCACACAGCTAGCAAAAGGTGGAGCCAGGGCTCCGAGCAGACCGGCTTTAGTTCTTCCTGCTTTCCATTCAGTGGGCATTAGGAAGTGTGGGCTTCAGTGGTGGGGGATGATGTGACACTAGAGACCCAAGGAGAAGAAAAACTTAGTTCTCAGAATTCCTCTCCAAGTGGGGTCTACGTATGACTGGAAGGAAGTCGGGGTGAGACCCCCAGAGCCAGCCAACTGTGTTCCAAGGGCCGGGGTCTTTAAGCTGGGAGTCTTGGCCTTGACCATATGTGCATCTGCTTGCTGCCAGCCTCCCCCCACCCCTACCCTTCCACGCATGGGACCAGCGTTCCCTAGACACACATGAGGGAGCGGAGATGGGGGTAGTAGATGCTGTAGCCTCCTTAGTTCCATGTGGCTGGGCCTACCCTGTGGGTCTCACAGCCTCCCTGCTTGTCCATTCCTGCTTAGTCCCTGCAGGCCAAGCAGCGAGCCCTGCTAAAGCAGCTGGACAGCCTGGACCAGGAGCGTGAGGAGCTGCGGGGCAGCCTGGACGAGGCTGAGGCCCAGCGGGCCCATGTGCAAGAGCAGCTGCAGAGCGAGCGAGAGCAGGGGCAGTGCCAGCTCCAGGCCCAGCAGGTGAGGGTGGGTGTCTTCCCTTTTGCTAGAGAAGCCTCTGGCCAGATGAGTGCTGGCAGGCCTGTCTTGTGTCTTGGGGGTAGGGACGGTGCCCCAGGGGTGCTCAGTGCCATGTGGCTATTCAGGAGCCAGGCCTGAGCCTCCCCTGCCCCAGGAGCTGCTGCAGAGCCTGCAGAGAGAGAAGCAAGGCCTGGAGCAGGTGACTACAGACTTGCGGCTGACCATCCTGGAGCTAGAGCGGGAGCTGGTAGAGCTGAGGGAGCGGGAGCGGCTGCTGGTGGCCTTCCCAGATCTGCACCAGCCCACCGAGACCCAGATCCATGGTAGGGGACTGGGGATGGTGCCAAGGGCATGCCGGGGCTCAGAGCCAGCAGCCGAGGGCTCATGTGGGCAGGACACTGGGGTCTGCAGCTCCGCAGCCTGTAGCGAGGGTGGTAAAGCTGGGCGGCCAGCAGTGCAGCCCCTGTGGACCCACCACAGCATGCAGGTGCTTCATGCATTATCCACTCTGTGCAGACACGGACGTGAAAGCCCAACAGTGATGTGACTGCCTCTAGTCACGACAGCCAAATCCAGACACAGGTCTGGTTGTCCCTGCAGCCCATGCTCTTCACCACATCACATGCCAGTCCTTGCTCAACTTGCCTGTGTCCCCCTTCTTGGTCCTTGGAATGGGTCCCCAAACCACACCAGGGGACTAGTTCCAATGACAGCCCCCAGCCACCTGCTGTCCTGGACCCTTTGGCACAGGAGTGCTAGGTGCCCATCTTGGCACAGGATTGGACATCAGGTGACCTAGGTTCTCCCAGCCCCTCCAGCCCCCTAAGGTGCTGGGGCGAATCCATGCACAGCTGGCAGGAAGATCTGCAATTTAGCTGCCCATACGACGTCATCCAGGCCCTTCTGTCCCCTTCTCAAACACCCTGTGAGACAGGTCATAGCCCCTTTTTGCAAAGCAGGAAACTGAACCAGAAGGGGCAGCAATTCTCCAAGGCTCATGGAGCCAGAAGGAAGCATCCATCACAAAAGCAGGGGAGAGAGCAGCCTTGCCAAATTCCTGCCATTCCCACCCTTGAGCTGGCTATGACCTTGGACAGCTCGCTTTGTCTCTGGCCTGTCCAAAACGGGGCCTAGGAAGAGATTCACTCTTCTGCTTATTTGCTAAATCTTTTGAGAGCTCTAGGCCCCACCCAGCTCTCAGATTTTATATTCTAGTCATTGTCCCAGCAGGTGGGGGGACAGGGAGGTGGGAACAAGGCTTCAGGAAAGGGAAGGTGAGATGGGAGGCCTGGTGTACTAATAGCTCCCTTGGGCCAGGTGCCGGGCCACCCACCCAAGCAGGTGTGCCTCCCTCCTAAGGTCCTGTCCCGCTGGGCACAGGAGGCAGATCGAGCAGGGTGGAGTCCCAGATAACATGTCCCACAGACTCTGGCAACGTCACAGATCACATGGAGAGGCAAGTGCAGGCCAACGACATCCGCATCCGGGTCCTACAGGAGGAGAACAGGCGGCTCCAATCAATGCTGTCCAAAATCCGGGAAGTGGCCCAGCAGGGTGGCCTCAAGGTAGGCCTGAGAGGGCGGGCCCTTGGGGACCAGGAGGAAGCCCCTACCCAGCAGAGGTCTTCGGACTCTGCCCTAGGAACTTATGGGAGCCCACCTCATTGCATGAGGTCTTAGGCTGTGCTTTTGTGAAACATTTTTCACATTTCCAGAAGGCTTGAGGATGTTTAGGATCCAGTGCCTTCCAGTCCCATATCCTCTATAGCCTTTCATGCCTTTAAGTGCAGCAAGAAGCCTTGTCAGGCCAGGCATGGCAGCTCATGCCTGTAATCCCAACTATTTGAGAGGCCAAGGCAGGCAGATTATGACCCCAGGAGTTTGAGACCAGCCTGGACAACATAGTGAGACCCTGTTTCTACAAAAAAAAAAAAAAAAAAAGCCATCCCAGAAAGAAACCTCCCCACACTTGCTGTCTGCCTGAGGTTTTGCAGCTGAGAATAGGCCCTGGAAGGCTTCCTAGGCTCCGCCCCAGGTGGAAGGGCTCGTGGGTATGCGTTCAGGCCTTCCCTCCTCATCCATGATTACAACACCCTCTCTGTACAGTGGGGAGGGGACTCCTGGGCTCTTCTAAGACTGGCCTTTTTTTTTTTTTTTTTTTTTTTTTTTTTTTTTTTTGTAGCTGATCCCACAGGACCAGCTCTGGTCCCCTTCCAGCAAGGGAACCCAGGGAGCAACACCACCAGTCCAGACCCAGAGCATATCCCCAGGGTGAGTGAGGCTTTACCAGAAGCAGGGCAGGTAGGTGGAGCATCCCCTGCACTCACAGAGGATCTTGGATCTGGTTTTCCTTCAGGCCCCTGGGCAGACAGCACCCTCCTGGCAGCAGGATGGGCAGGACCCTGCCCGGCCAGCCCCGCACGTCCCCACCTCAGCAGCCCCGCGCATCCCCACCTCAGCAGCCCCGCACCTCTCCATCCCAGCAGCCCCGCACCTCTCCATCCCAGCAGCCCCGCACCTCTCCATCCCAGCAGCCCCGCACCTCTCCATCCCAGCAGCCCCGCACCTCTCCATCTCAGCAGCCCTGTGCATCCCCACCTCAGCAGCCCTGCAGCCAGCCCAGCAAGTCCTTGCTGGAGGATGTGACCCACTCGGCCACCTCCACCCAGAGCCCCATCAGGGCCTTGGTCAGGCTGAAGAGGAGACTGTCACCTGGCTGGGGCCAGGCTAGCTCTGCACACCAGCCCCAGGAGCGGCCCATGTAGCTTGTGGTAGGGGTGGGGCTGGATGGCAGGTGGCTGGCAGCCCACCCACTGTAATAAAGGCCCAGCCATTGGCCCACAGCCATCTTGGCCTCACAGTATGGCTGAGCTGGGGAAAGAGTCCTTCCTTCCCTGTCCTGGGCAGGAGCCACTGAGTCCCCAGCCATGTAGGTCATCAGCCAGCAGAGTCCTGGCCCTATTGGCCCTCAGTAAAAGGGGCCTTTCTGCTTCCCTCCTGACAGAGACTGTGGGACAGGAGAGTACACCCAGGGCAGAGGAAGCTCCTAGGACCTGGGCCAAGTGAAGGGCCGTCTTTCTAGTCCCAGAGCAAGGGCCCAGGGTGAACCTGGGCTCAGTGTCTTGCACGGACTCAGATGGGTGTCAGGTGAGGGTGGACAGAGGAAGGGCCATTGAGGACTTCTGAGGCAGGCAGAGGGGAGCGATGCCTTCGGCCTCCCACCCTTGCTCTGGACCTGCACTGGGCACATTAAGGACCCAAGAAGTCAGCCTCCTTTCACTGAGGAACTCCTCTCCTTTAGGAAATGGTGAACGTCATGAAGGTTTCTCTAACTCCTAGAGGTCAGAGCCCCAGGAGGCCACCAAAGGTAGGGCAAGGCCTCCCTCAAGCAGAGGACATCCTGCCAGCCCTGGCTGTCCCATGCCTGTCCCTTGCCCCCCTCCCCAGCCCAGGATGCCACGCAGCTGAGCATCCAGGGCTCGTTTTCCTCATGAAGCCACCAGTCTGCCCTGAGCCACTTGCCTGTGAAGGACGGTCTCCAAAAACTTGCCGAGGCCTTCTCAGGGTGCACGCTCCCAGGTGCCTGAAGCACTTTTCCTTGGTGAACAAGCCATCAGAGCACCTCAGTTCACAGAGGAGGGTCAAGCCTAATTTCCTGCTTCTGAGGGGCCCAGGCACCTCCCTCACAGGGGAGCACCAGGCCTTAGCACTCTGAGCCAGGAGGCCTGTGGCCAAGTCCAGGGGAACAACCTCACAGCTGAGCAACTCTCTCAGGCCACCACCAATTCCATACCCGTGTATTCATTAGCTCCCAGTTCTGGAGGTTGGAAGTCTAGGTTTTGTGTAGCTGGGTTTTCTGCTAAGGGTCCCAGAAGGTAGAAATCGAGGCATCTACCAGGCTGTGCTCCTTTCTGCTGGCTCTGGGGAAGAATCCACTTCCAAGCTCATTCCACATGGTGGCAGAATTCCAATCCTTGTGGCCATGGGACTGAGGTCCCCATCTCCTCACTGGCTGCTGTAAGCCAGCTCCTCTCTCACCTCCTAGAGGCCGCCCACTTTCCTTGCCATGGGGCTCCCTCCATCTTCAAGTCAGCAACAGAGAATTTCTCAGGCACCGAATCCACCACATGCTTTAAATCCCTGACTTCCTCCTCTTGTACCAGCAGAAGACGACTTTTAATGGGCTCATGTGGTTAGGCCAAGGCACACTCAATACTTTCCCTTAGGCCGGGCGCGGTGCGCCTGTAATCCCAGCACTTTGGGAGGCCGAGACGGGTGGATCACGAGGTCAAGAGATCGAGACCATCCTCGTCAACAAGGTGAAACCCCGTCTCTACTAAAAATACAAAAATTAGCTGGGCATGGTGGGGCATGCCTATAGTCCCAGCTACTCGGGAGGCTGAGGCAGGAGAATTGCTTGAACCCAGGAGACGGAGGTTGCGGTGAGCTGAGATCGCACCATTGTACTCCAGCCTGGGTAACAAGAGCGAAACTCTGTCTCAAAAAAAAAAAAAAAAAATTCCCTTACTTCAGGTCAACTTGCTGTACCACATAACCCAACCATGAGCATAAAATCCCTTAGAGTCACAGTTCCAGAGATTAGATTAATACAGGGCATGTTCACAGTGGGTGGCAGTGGGAATCTTGGGGGCCATCTTGGAATTCCATTTACCACAGGCAGTAGAACCTAAGGTGACTTTTTAAATCTTAAAACACCCATACACATTTTATATCTTATGTTAAAATATAGCCATGTTTATTTTACTATTAAACCTTCCCTACCCCAACTCTTTAAAAAAAAAAAAAAAATGGATGCCCCTGGTTGATGCACCACATTGATCCTGTGAGTTGAGTGTCCTGGTCAGTAGCACAAAGCTGCAGCCAAGGAGTCCAGGACAGGATGGTTTCTAAGGCCTCTGGTCCTAGCTAGGCCCAGGAAGGGAGCCAGGCTGGACAGGCAGCAGGACCTATGGCTCCTGGTACCCAAGGACCAAGGGTAACAGGCAGACAGCCTTGACCAAGACGTATCCCAGAAGACGGTCAGGCCAGGGTACCCCAAGGCCAAATAGCTCTTCCCTCAACCCACCCCCCAATAAATAAGCACACAGCCTGGCCACTGCAGTCTCAGCCCCCAGGGATTCCCTGAGAGGCCACAGGGAGCTCCCGGAACCCTGGGGACAGCCGCACTGGCTCCATATTCCCTTTTCCTATTGACCTGGGAGCTGCCTGTGAGGACAGCAGAGTCACGTCCCAGGATTACCGAGAAGGTCCCAAAGTGACCTCTCTTCCTTTACTAACAGGTCCCGGCCCTGGATCCTCAGTCTGAAGCTGCGGGGCTCTCCTTCCCAGTGTGGACATGGTGGGGCCCTCATCCTTCCACCCACTGGGCTTGCTTTCCTGTCCGTCCTGCTGTCCCATCCTGTCCTGTCCTGGGAGCCCAGGCTGAGGACTGACGTGTAGACAGGAAGGGTCCTTCCCCATGTGCAGAGCCCAGCTGGGCAGCTAATCCTCGGAGTAGCGGTTCCCTGCGGGGGAGGGGAAGAACAGGGAGGGAGGCATCAGGTGAGGAGCAGGTGGAGTAGGCCGAGGGCCACCGCCCCTGGTGCTCACCCAGGACGTTGAATTTGCACAGTGGGCAGGTCTGCTGCAGCATCAGCCAGGGGTCCACACAGTCTCGGTGAAACTCGTGCTTACAGGGCAGCACTCGGAGCCACTACAGAGGTTGGGGAGGAAGGGCTCAGGCCATCGAAGCAGGACTCCACATGGGGGTGCCTGGTCCCATGCCCCTCGCCTCAGCTGGGGAACTGAAACCTCATGGCTTCCCCAACACCCCGAAATTCTGCTCTGTAGCCCTGGTGGCTGGAAGAAGGGACTGTTAGGGGTAGTTCCAGGGTCTCGGGAGTACGGTGGTAGGCATCACAGGTGAGCTGATGGCTGGTCTCTACCCGGGACACTAGCCTGCTTGTTGCAGAAATAGTCCAGGCACACAGCGCAGGTCTCAGCACCCGGCTCCGGGAGGCCCTGTGCCGCCCTGCTCAGCCGGCAGCGCCGGGTCTTGAGGGATGCCAGTCTCCGAACCACGCGGCGCTTAAACAGGTCCACCTGTGGGTAGAGAACGGGCACGGTCTCACAGGCCCAAGGGCTCATGGCACTGGGGCTCCCGGGGGCTGGCTCCCACCTGGCCTCCGAGCTCCCGCTGGCTCTGCCGCGATGCCTGCCGCTGGGCCTGGACCACGAGGCCTGTGCACAGGAGCATGGCCACCAGCAGGATGGCGTTCCACAGCTGCTGCAGGGGCTTCTGTGGAGGGAAGCAGTCATCAAGGACATGGGGCCGCCCCCACATGCTTCCCTCAGGAACATCCACCCCCAGGAGCACCAGGGAGCAGGCAGGTGAAGGGTGCTGAAGGCCGCTGTGTCCCTGCAGTCCCTGGCTGCCTCTTCTGAAGGCTCCGTTCCTCCCCGTGTGCTCCTCAGGGTCCACCGCTGCTGCCCCCGCTCTGCCCTACACGTCTCCCCATCCAGCGCCAAGGACAGCCACGTCCATTCCCAGCCCAGGGCTCTCCTGGGCAACAAACCAGATGTTTTACACTCACAGAAGCCTCTTATCTGGTGGCCTCAGAGACTCCCCAACCCAGCACCCAGCAACCCAGCACCCAGCAATGCAGCACCCAGCCTGGGACCCGCTCACTCTCCCACCTGCATCCTCCTGCACTTCCTCCTGGTTGGCTTTCTCAGGCCCTGCTGTCACCCACTCACCCATCCAGGCTGAATATTCGCACACCCCCAGTACGGGAGGGAGCCAGCCCCCAAGGCCTGATGCTGTGTTCTCCTGGGGGGGGTCTCTCACACCCTCCTTGCCACCATTTACCACCCACAGCCAGAGGGCTCTCCCCTGCACCCCGGGCCCGCAGCTCCCCTGCCTGAGCTCCTTCCCTGGAGTGTCATCTGCCTCCTCTCAGTGTCCTGTGCTGCCGGCTCCCTTCTGTGTCTGTGCCTTTCCACACTGTTCCTGTCTTGAAAATCCTTTTCCACCTCACCCCTTTCCTCGGCTACTGCCTCTACTTGCTCTAGAAGCTCCCTGACCTCTCTAGCTGGGCGAATGCCCCCACCTAACCTACTGCTGCCCAGCCCTCCTCACACCTGCTCTACCCAGCATTCCCTTGCAGCTGCCCTTGGTCCATGTGCTCCCATCGGTGGGAGGCAGCCACAGCTGATGTGCTCACCACTCTCGCCCAGTGCCTCCCACCGGCTTTGCGGAATGAGTGAATTTGGAAAGGAAGCATGATTGAGAGGACAGTTTAAAACCTGGGGGCCTTGGGCAGCCTCAGAGTGACTCAGGGAACCACAATGACCTTGACTCAACTCACCCAAGATGCAGTGTGGCTGCTGGGCTTAGACTACTCAACAGCTGGATCAGGAGATGGTGCCGCGGAGTAAGCAAAACATGGCATGCCCCCCCGAGGTGCGCACGTGTGTGACTAATACACTCGTTCACTTCAAAGCTCTCTGCCGTCATGTTCTTCCCTGACCAATGCCGAAGTTCATCGACTGTCGTGGGGAAGAGGCCACTGCTCTAGACAAGCCTGAGTGCTGCTCAAGCCACAAGCCGTTCCAGTGTTCAGAGTGGAGGTGCTCTGGGGGCCCTCGCTGGGAAGCATCTGTGAGCCCCAGCTTGCCTTTCCGTTCTGCGCCCTTCTTCCCTTTCTTTCCTCCAGCTGCAGCTGGGAGTGCCACCTGTTCTAGGAAGTTGTCCCCACGCCCTACGCTGAGTGCCTTTATCATGCCTTAGAGGGTCCTGGGCCCACCACCAACTCAGTGCTCACCGCAGCAGAGTGACAGCATGTCTCTGGCCTATCTGCCCTCCAGATAAGGTGCCCATGAGCCCAGGGCTAGAGAGGCCACATTGGCCAACACCTGCTGGGGCTGTATACCAGAAGACCGGGGCGGCACTGCCTGGCAGAGAAGTGACTCGATATACTTGTGGACAGAAATCCCTTGATGCCAAGGGTTAAAAATCCAGGAATGATAAAACACAGCCCTGGCTGTCAGGAGACAAAGTGACGCTCTCCTGAGCCCCATGCCATCTTAGTGGCCATCACAGCGTAAGCCTCAGAGCAGCCAGCTGGGTGGGCTGAAGGTATGGCTAGCCTGAAGCTCTGCTGCAGGCCAGAGACCCAGGCTGCCCAGGCTCTGTGCATGCTGGGGAGCCCTATGTGCCCCAGGTCCAGTGCATCCTGGAGAACACAGCTTGCAGAGCTCCAGGTGAAGATAGAGGGCAGGATGGGGTTTGGCATCAGAGCAGTAAGGACTGTTCATTAGCCAGGCATGGTGGCTAACGCCTGATATCCCACCACTTTGGGAGGCCAAGGTGGGAGGATTGCCCAAGCTCAGGAGTTTGAGACCAGCCTGGGCAACAAAGTGGAACCCCATCTCTACAAAAAAATATAAAAATTAGCCAGACATGATAGCATATGCTTGTAGTCCCAGCTACTTGGGGGGCTGAGGTGGGAGGGTCCCTGGAGCCCAGGAGGTCGAGGCTGCCGTGAGCCAGGATAGTGCCACTGCTGTTCATCAGACCTTCCTGATACATGGGTGCTACTGCTCTGGAATCTCAGAAGCTAGAGGGATGGTGACTGGGCCCTGGGGTCAGGACTGAGAGCCTGATGCCCATCAGGCCAGCCACTGAGATGCCTACCCCAACCACCCTTCAAACACCTCAGCTGCTATGACCACCCAATACTTGGGTTGGGACCACCTTGACCCCGGCCTGTAGCCTGGCCAAGGCTTCTCAGCTCTGCTCTCTGGGGCAGCCAGAGCAACCTGCAGACTGTGCACAGCCCCACCTTGGGCCTCTCGCCAATGCCTGCCCTGTCCAGAGGCCTGTGTGGGCCACCCATGACAGGGACACACAGTGTACCGTCCCTGTTCGCAAAGGGGAACACGAGGCCAGAGCGGAGAAACTCCCAGCCTGAGATCAGTCAGCTAAGGTTTCCGAACCAGGATTTGACCCCAAGATCGCCCATCTTGAAGCTGCCCTGCACAGCCCACGTTGGCCAAACACCTGCTAGAGGCTGCACACCAGGAGACCAAGACATGACTGCTAGGCCAAGTACGGACTCAAGAAATGCTTGTGGACTGAATACCCCCGAAGGGCCTGATGCCAAGTGTTGGAAATCCAGAGATGATAAAACACAGTCCTGGCTGTCGGGACAAAGTGACGTGCCCCACCACATGCAGGATGGGCTGTCCTGAGAAGCCCAGGAAAGG